TCTCTCTCTCTCTCTCTCTCTCTCTCTCTCTCTCTCTCTCTCTCTCTCTCTCTCTCTCTCTGTCTCTCTGTGTGTTACATACTGCATTTCACACGGGTCCCTTTCGGGCCCGACCACTAGGCCTAGGGGGTACCACAGGCCTGAACACGATAGTCCAGGCCGGTCCGGTCCAAAGGCCGGACCTTTATGTGCAAGGCCGCCTGGTACGCCCCGTCGCACAGGCCCAGGCGGACACGGTTCAAACGATATTACCGTTTGGACCGCCGGCGCCCTTGAGGCTGCCGCCCGCAAGGCCGATCTGAAACCGCAGATCGGCAACCGGATCTGACGGTTCAGATCACGGTGCTGTTTCGCAGCAGAAAGGCCGAAAAGGCCACCACGGTACTTAGTACCCAGCAGCGGTCTGTTCAGGAGGCATTTTCGGAGGAATGCAGCAGTGAGGTAACGCTGCGCTAAGTTTAGTAGCGCAAGCGCTCAGCGCATCAGCACGATGCAGGGCAGATTAGCACAGTGGAGGTTAGAGGAAGAGCGGCCGACTTACCTGCAGGAGCGTCCATAGCTCCGGTCTACGTCGCAGGCCTTGAGCAGCGCCAAGGTCACACCTTGCCATCGCAGGTAAGACCTGGACAGCAAGGCACGGGCAGGAGGACTCACCTCCACCCCTCTCTCTCTTCTCTCCGCCTCCACTTCTCCTCTGCCCCTCTCGGATCTTCTTCTTTTTCTTCTTCTTCTTCTTCTTCTTCTGCTTCTCCTTCTTCTTCAGGCTTCTTCTTTTTCTTCTTATTCTTCTTCTTCAGAATGGAGACTATTGATACGAGTTGGACAGAGATCAGTGATTGGACTTCGGTGGTAGGAGGATGTGATAGTTACCGGATTCGAGACATTGGAGATGGTTGGGATTGATACCTGGCGGCATCGCAGATCGGACACCCGTTACATTAGGATCCTGTATCTCCGACACTGGTGACTTATGTCAACGACATTCTGATTTTGTTCGGTGACATTTTGGGCTACTATATCGGTGACATTTTGGATTCTATTTCGGTGACATCTGGCACTGTCCCTATCTCCCACCTCCATCGTCTCTCCTCCCACCATTCAATGACATCTGTGTAAGGGTGTACGGGGCTGAAGCATCATCTATGTATGGCTTCAGACCCCACCATCTCATGATTGCTTGTGGGTTGAGTGATGTCTAGTTGAGTTCAGTCTATGTGAGTCAGTCAATATCTCAGACTCCAGCTGCATATATGCTCATCCTTTATTGGTTGATCTTTGGTTCTGCCCATACTTGGTGAAGGTATTCACTAGTATGCAACAGTTTGGTATCCGAGCAGACCAATTAAGTGGATCTGCTCAAAGGGTAATTCTGCTTAGGGAATCGATTGCTTAATTAGCATTGTCGTTTTCCGAATTAGTTCTGCATTACTATCGAAAATTCGAGTTGCAAAATTCTAAATTTAATTCGGTATTCTATTTTAATTCGGTATTGAATTAGGATTTCGATAATTTTGGTTTTCCGCATTGGGGGAAAATTCGCGTTTTCTGGAACCATAAACCGGAAATTCCGCAAAATCGCGGAAAACTAGGGTTGATGTTACATGCCCAGTTGGGCGATGTACATATATAACCGAGGATCCGCAATGTGATGAAAAGGACTGAACGGCCAATGCAGTGCTAGTGGAATATCAACAAACAGTGTATATCCTGATACATACAAAAATGTTGCTTTGTAGCGCAGTGGAAGACTTACATATAAGTTCTGACCTGACCGGGACTGACCTCTATCACGTAGTGCAAGACAGCGCAGCAGAATGCTAGAATACCAATGACTAGCCCAATCAATGTCGCAACGCAGACCAAACATACATCATCCTCATCACAAGGTGTGAAGGGGCCTGGCGCTACACATAGGAAGAATGCGCCAGGTCCAAATCATGCACAGACGAAGAGGAGGGAAACAGACGAAGAAGAGGGGGGGGAGATGGGAATGACGTCAACACCAAGTCTTCGTTACAAGTCCCAAGTAATCCCTCGTCAAAATGTCTGAAGCCCAATGTCGAGTCTGGATCCAAATGTCACCAATCCCACTCTCTCGTAGTCTGCTGATGCAGTGAAGTCAGGTAGCAAGAGGGTGAGAGGGAGATGGTGGACTGAGAAGAGGAAGAAGAAGAACTCTCTCTCTCTCCCATGTGCCAGGTACTAACCTGTGAAGATGGCGCTGTGCTCCAGGTACCTCGAAGACGAAGCTGGAGCTATGGCGCTGCAGGTAAGTCTCCCTGGCCTCTGCCCAATCTCTCTCTCTCTCCAGTACTACTCTAGCTCCTACTGGCGCACAGCGCTGAAGACTACTGCTAACGCTACTACTTCTTCGAGGAAGCGTGTACGTCTGTGCAAGGTGGCCGTTAGCGATGTAGGGTGTAAATCAGTACGTTTCTCTTTGCTGGTCAGATTCATTGCTTATGATCTACATAATACTTATACCATGACTATGGGGAAAGTAGTCAAACAGCAATTTGGCATTCCAATGGGCAAGTCTTCCAGCCCGGCACTCGCCTGCTTGATGTGTATGCACAACGAGTATGTTTTTCTTCGAAGCTTGGGCAATGACTCAAAGCTGGTGAAAGGATGTCGTCTTGTAGATGATGTTTCATTGTTTATTAAGTGTAGAGTTAATAACGAGGCTTCTGTTAAGAATGCCGAAATAAATTTTGAGAAGTACGGATCCTGTTGTTATGACAAGCATCTGATGCTGGAAAAGACTAGTAGCACAGATGATTGGCTGTATTTAGGCTGTCGGTTGCATATAGCGAGACATCCAGCTCCAGCTAGGGTGTACTGTCAAGCATTGCATAAGAATCAGGAATGTTTATTTGAGGATAGCAGGCTTGTCTTTCAAAACCTGCAGGACTACAGTTCCTTTTGTAGCAAACAATAGTGTATTGCAGTTATTTCTTCATTTTTTCATAGGGCATATGCTATGGGCACGCTCCCCGGCTCTGAGGCCCTTTTCTTGTTCAGTTTAAAATTAGAGCTTAGACGTAGGAATTTCCCGGACTCCTATTTCAGGCCCTTAGCCACTTTAATGATAGGATCAATGGGGCCTGGGCCCCGTGGGTGAAATGCTTTACTGGTTGGACCTTCTGGTGATTTCCAGCCCTTTCTTTCTTTCTCTTAGACCTGCGACTCATTTCCTATGATATATAGTAGTATAGCTCGTCTATTTTTCCATTCCCAGCGCACCCCTGAGGAGAGCCGGTTCACTGGCGAGCCGGCCGAAACAGCTGTCGGGTTTCATCGCCAGATGCTTTCACCATAGCGGGCTTTTCCGCTATCTTTTCCTTGGACTTCATTGAATATCATTCGAGCTGATGCGCTCGGGGCTCTTCTTCTTCTTTTTCTTCTTCTCCTTTTCTTCTTCTCCTTTTCTTGCTTTTTCATTTTGAGTGTTTCCACTTGACTGTGTCACTGCATGATCTTCTTCTCCGCCCAATCTCTCTCTCTCTCCAGTACTACTCTAGCTCCTACTGGCGCACAGCGCTGAAGACTACTGCTAACGCTACTACTACAACTGCAGTGCTCCTCCAGAGTGCTGCTGCCTAATCCTGAAGACTACCTCCTGCGTCCTGAACTGCACGTGAAGTGCCTGGGAAGTCCCTATGAACTACCTGCAGCCTGCAGTGCGGGCCAGTCCTATATAGTGTTGGCCCGTCCAGGAGGCTGCTCTTGCCAATGCCGAAATGTGCCAGACCCTGGCGTTGAAGCTCAACCAAGGGTTGTCTTGAAAACAGGCCCAAAATGGCCTGTGCTAAAACCCTGGTCTGGTGCCTGAGTTTCAGGGCAGGTCGATCTCATGAGGGCCTGAAAATGGCCCTCCGTTTCAGGCTAAAAAGGCTCAGGGCCGGAAAGGCCCTGTTTTAGGCTGAAACGACACAGGGCCTGTAGGCCCTTGTTTTCAGGCTTTCAGGCTGAAACAACACAGGGCCTGTAGGCCCTTGTTTTCAGGCTTTCGGGCTGAAAACGACACAGGCCTGAAAATGGCCCGTGCAGCCTGTTGCAGGTGCAGCATGTAACAGTTGAGGTCCGAAATTTCCGCAATTTTTTTTGTTCTTTCTAATTGTTGAAATTCCGAAAGCAGACTTTGGCCTTCTGAAAATCGGACTATTTTAGGTAGAAATTCCCAAAATCTCACGTTTTTTTTTCGAAATTGGAGTGTTTTCCTTGCTCCTATTTGTCCATTTTTTTTCGTTTGGCAGACTGTTCGAAATCGTTTACCCCAGAACTGCAACCAGGAAGTTCACTATCAACGGTGAACTCCTGGAACATACGTGATCTCAACGGACACCTGATCTGCCAACAACAATTTAAATTTCGTATTTTAAATCATTATTTACTATTTAGTCTTATTCTTTACTATTTACTTATTATTTTCGAAATTAAATTGTTCGGGGGGAAAAGATCATCTTTTCTTTTTATCAGGAGTCCAGTCCACATTGGAACTGGGAACTGCATGTGATTGTTTGTTCTGTTCTACCCCTGTTCCCACCCTCCCTACCCTCCCCGTGTCTCTGACCACTGAGATCCCCAAGTACCACATCAGCCCGGCGTGCTGATGTTGACGGAACAGGACACCGGGGCACTGCCACGATGCAGTGCCAGGATCACAGTTCGTAGCCACTCTGTGCTACCTCCACGGCCTAAGTATCAGCAACAATGACTCAGCAGGAGACCGACTCCAGCTGCATCCAGTACTAATGCAGCAGCTGCAGTAACAGTCACCGCAGGGATCCTCGCCGCCTGTCCGGTCCAAGGGGACCACGAGACTTTGGCAGCTTACCCTCAGCGGGTGCAGGCATTCACAGATGCCGTCGAAACAGCAAAGGCACTGCAAGAGGCAGCAGAAGCAGAACATCAGCGGCTTGCCCATGAGGCGGCAGCCCAAGCTCAGCGGACTGCTGAGGCTGACGCAACGGCTCGAGACAAACGGAATGCCGCCAGTGCTGAGTCGTTGATTCAGAATGAGAGTCAGTGGACAGCACTACTCCAAGCCATGACCTTTGTGCCTACGGACAAGCAGGCGGATCCGACACCGGAGGAGGCGGAAAGGAGTAACCTAGCTAACTTGATGCTGTGTATAATGAGGGCAGTCATGTGGAACAACACGATGCAGACTGTGCACGCGCACACTGGACGACAGATGAGACAGACTCAGCAGAGAGAGTCTTCAACCTTGACAGCCGCCATCCGCGCAGCAGCACAACATCAGCAGCAACAGCAACAACAGCAACAGCTGTTGGCATCCACTATCACACGCGTCAACAGCATCGAGGCTAAGCCCACAGCAGCACCAGGCTGCACGATGGACATGACAAAGCAGCTCGGAGAGCGCATCGACTATGTCATCAACATCATCGGCGACCTGAGTGACTTTACCAGTGCGGCCACGATCAGCAGGACGGTGGCCGCCATCAAGACGGACATCACCAAACTGCAGTCACGACCGGAAGCCGCCGCGAAGACGTTCAAAATGCCACGCTTCAACATCGCCAAGTTCGACGGCTACAACAAAATGGATGCATTGGCATGGTGGCAAGATTTCGTCACCGAAGCAGCCTGCCACCACGTGCCGGACAACCAGATGATGACAGCACTCTACCTCCAACTCATTGGAGGAGCACAAACATTCATGAACCACACAACGGCCAATCTGGGAACCACCATCGCCAACCTGCACATGCACATTACGTGGGAGCAGCTCGAGCAAATGTGGTACACTCGATTCATGGTCCGCAATGTAGTAAAGGCGGCCATGAACGACGTCTACTCCAGTTCACAAGGGAACATGTCAACACAAGACTGGATGATCAAGGGGCAGAAGATAGTAACCACTCCTGGTTTCGACTTAAGTTTCCCAAACTTGCGATCTGAATTATTTTCACGATCGTGCGCAGGACTGCGGTCGGTTGTGTTACCACGCGTTCATTGAATGCACGTTTCGCATTCAGTTTTTGAACGCGGTGAACGCGCGTTCACTGAACGCGGGTAAACACGTTTGACGCGTTTGCGCAAGGCGTTTTCGGAGCGGGGGTGTGGGCTGGGGGCCGTGTGTGTGTGTGTGTGTGTGTGTGTTAGTGTGTGTGTGTGTGTGTGTGTGTGTGCTGTCTCTTATACACATCTAGATGTGTATACTGCGATACCTCTATATCTGTTTAGGACTTAGTTA